GAATTGCTCAATGGGGTTTGTGATAGAGATGGTAATGGAGATGATGATGATTAACACAACGTAACAGACTTTGAAGCAGATTGCTTCGTCAAGGCTTTTAGAACTTTTCCAACTTAGACATGTTTACTTTGTGATCGTTGTAAATAAAATGAATGGAATTACTAATCTAAGGCCCCTTATATACTCATCAGGAGAACTCGTTTCGTAAACTCGACAAGGCGCCATCTATCTGTGAAAGCTCTTTAGCTCCTGTCGATATGATTGATCCTCTTGAATAATATATCAAGGTCAATCCATTCAATCTTATATATACAGCAGGGTAAATTTCAGGCTCATAATTTGCATCTTTTGATGACTCAACAAATTCATGAATCTTGAATGCAAATGGATAGTAGCTATGAGCTGTAATGTTAACTGTTTTAATAAAGGTAACATTGTTTGCAGGATATAGTTCTTGAAGAATCGAACAGGCTGAAGTCACTTTTTTAAATCCAGTAGCAATTACTTTTCCTGATCCAAAAACTAGAAATACACTATTTTCCTTATGATTTGAGCATTGAATCTCTTTTTTCTACAGGGCATTTCAGCTAATTTTACCGTTGTAAATTGGCTATATCTTTGCTCCTGAGTGAACTTGAGGTTTGATATTTTGTTCATGGAAATTCGGGCGATACTCAATTGTCATATTTCAAGGTCAAGGTGATTCAAGGTCATTGCGTTATTTGACCTCTAATTGATATTTAAAGGTCATTTTCTAAGAGCCCAAAAATTTTCAGATTGGTTGATGCCAGTGACATGTTCATAACTCATTCTGGTAGCAAGATATGGGTGTTTACACATTGCTGTGTCGATCAATTGGTTACAAGCAAAATGCATTCATCTTTTCAACGGTTTAAGATAACAACTCGTAGTAAGCATCAACCAATCTGTAAATTTTTGGGCTCTTAGAAAATGACCTTTAAATATCAATTAGAGGTCAAATAACGCAATGACCTTGAATCACCTTGACCTTGAAATATGACAATTGCGTATCGCCCAAATTTCCATGAACAAAATATCAAACCTCAAGTTCACTCAGGAGCAAAGATATAGCCAATTTTACAACGGTAAAATTAGCTGAAATGCCCTGTATTAGTATTGTCAATCTCTAATTTGAAAGGCCCGTTAATCTTCCATAAACTTACAATATTAGCTATTGAATAATTAAGCGAGTTTGATGACATATTCACTTGTAGGTCGGTAGAAAGTGCGTAAAAAAATAACAATAATTATCAAGATTACGATTTCCAAGACTAATAAGATCTTGATTATATTCTTATAAGTCTCAGGGTCCATCTTTAGAAAGATTATATTTAACTTAGTCTTATATACTCTATGTTGGTCCAGACCCGGACATGCCCAGAGGGGCACTTTGGTTTAGAAATAAGAAAAATTGAGCAAAAAATTTGGTCCAGAAGAGGACGTTTTTAGTTGATCCAGAAGAGGGTTTTTAGTTGATCCAGAAGAGGCATCAAAAGTTGGTCCAGGTGGGACAAGTTGGTCCAGAAGAGGACTTTTTATAACTACTTGCAATTTATGAATAAGAGTACAGCAAATTTTTCTTTCGAAGTTGTAGACAAACTGAAAAGGTTCAACGAAAATTATGAAACCTGATGCGTTGGCATTGGAGTGTATTAACGAAAATAGCCTAAGCTTATCCAAGATTCGGATTAGGACAAGGTGTTGACGTGTAGCGCATGTGTTATGAGGGGTTGTGGAAAAGACACTATTTTGTTTAGTTTGCTGACGTGATTATTGTTTGATAATTAATGAGAGAACAATTTCTTTAAGTTGAGATTTTTAACTTGATGGACTTCTAGAGACATAGAAGTGGACAAATTTTTCTTGGAAGTTTTTGTTAAGTCACTTTCGAAGCTTGCACGTAGATTAGACTTCATTCATAAGTTCTATTTATACAGCCGCGAAAGAAAAATTTGAAATAACGATGTTTAAACAAATGGATGAGTAAATTTACTGTTGTCCAAAATTCTTACATTTCTGCTTGAACTTTTACGATTTACCCAGAAAACAAGGGTACTCAACACAAAGAGGTATTCTTCCCCCTCTACACCTCTCTTCACCCTTTACACCTCTCTTCACCCTTTACACCTCTCTTCACCCTTACACCTTTCACTGAAGCAAAACGAAATTTTGTCAATATTTTATTGGGTAACCATCATTTCTCACTGCATGGAGTCTCGCATCGTATGAATCATAAAAGGCCTGATTGTAGTTCAAAGTACCTTTTTTTCTTCCCAGTTTTAAAATATCAATTGTTTCATTCTTTCTCTAGTTCTGCAGTTTCATCTAAATAAA